GAGTGTTTGGTTTGTTGTATTCAAAATAATAAATTTTAAGAACAATTTATTTTTTTACAAAAATGCCCTTCACGAATGTAAAAAGTGATGTATAAAAAGGGTTGAAAGAGACATTTTTGTCAATTACTTATTTTATCTCGGGATAAGTTATCCCGGGATTACTATACCATCCAAGGGGAAGGATAACTTATCCCAGTACTAATTATTAATCCCGGGATAAGTTATCCCGAACTTGCCAACCAAACAATAAATTAAGTGATACTATAATTTAATCCCATGACTATTTGGTATTATACTTCACACCAAACGACCCCTAAGGGGTCCGTAGGAAATGAACTTGCTTAATTGGAATTGGTGTACGGTAGTAATAATCAGCTTTGTGCTATATTTGGTGTTCGAGTCCGGAACTCCTTCCTTCAAATAAACACCTTTTATCAGAAATTACGTTATATATATATATATATATATATATATATGTCAAATTCTACATTTAAGTATATATATTTACGCCCCGGCCTAATAATCATAAGGTTATATTAAATTTTTAAAATAAAAATTAATTATCTAAAATTAAAAAAATATACTAGACAAATAAGTGATTTATAAATGATTTTAAATTGAATATTTAAGATATATATTGTCTTTTAAAAATATAATAATTAATAAACATATGTTCTTGACTAATATTATAAAAAATAATTAATTTATATTTTTCAAATTAGTATATTTTAATTAAATTAATCACAAAAACTAAAGTACAAAATTTCTATGAAATGCATGTTTGACAAAAAGATTAGTATTATAAATATAATGTCATAAAATTATAAAAACATTTGACAAAACATAATCTATTAAGTCTAACTAAAAGAATAGTTTGCAATGTAAAATATCGAGTCAATACTCCTAAAACAAATGAAATTGAAAATATAACATAAATTCTAATTCTAAAACAAAAAAGTTAACATAATACTCTTATGCCAAATTTCAACATTACATACATAAATATGATTTAAAAGAAGAGGAGAATGTAAATCTTTAACATTATTCAACAATGAATTCTACTTTAATTTTAAAATTAGAATACTATCAAAATTATGCTAATGAAAAAAAATAAAAAAAAATGCATGGAATCACATGAAGTATATGTTGAGAATGAGAAGGAAATGAAATATAAATAATAAATAGTATATTTTTAAAAAATATTAGAATAATAAAAAAAAAAAATTAAAGTAGTAAAAATAAAAAATAAATTAAAACGAAAAAAATAACTTAAAAGCAAGAATTTAAAAAGTAACCAGCTTGTAATTATACCATGTAATTACCTACCTCAATTACATTCAATTACTTGTTGACCAAGTAATTACCTGTCCAACCAAACTAAGTAAATACATGACCAACCAAACATGTCAAACACTGTGTAATGATACTCAATTACCCCAAATTCAATTACTAGTGTGACTTTCCAAACAGGGCCTAAGTATTTTGTTTTTAATATGTGTGTAAGTTCAAAATAGACGAGTAAAAGTAAAATTTGTTTTATTTGTTCATTAAGTATTTTGATTTTTAAAAGAGATAAGTGGTTAAAACACACTTAAACTATACCTTTTTTTTGAGTTTCACACCCAAACTATTGAAAGTGTGAGAAACACACCTAAACTATTACACTTTAGTTTGAAAAACACACCTCTGTGCTGACTGGACCATATGTGTGTGTACACAATCTTTTGCGCGGGTGTGGCCTTGATTTTCGTCCACATGGCTTCTTCTTTTTCAAAAAATAAAATATCAAAACACACCTAAACTATAAAATTGTTTGACTACTTTCCCACCTAAACTATTAGGAGAGTGAGAAACACACCTAAACTATCATTCATAAATTTGAGAAACACACTTTAAATTATATGTTACACTAGTTGCTTAAGCTCGCTCAAAAGGGACGGATATTTGTATATCAATGATGCCATACAAGGAATCCACGACGCCCTTTGGTAGCTTTAATAATTTGAGGGGTGTTGTCCATGACATCAGATTCTATTTTTTTGTTTGTTTAATAACTAGTTAGACTATATTTGTGGGATCATTATGCCACCAAATTGAGCATATTTTCTTTCTATTGAATTGTTGCGTTTTGCAGACTACAAACAACTATGAGCAGCTAAGGACAGAAGTAACCAAAGCATTTTTAGTAGCTCGAAGTAAAAAATTGATCGGCTCTAGTTTGTATAGTATAGAAACACTGAAATCAAGTAATGCTTCAGTTTGCCGAGCAACCTACAATGATATTAAAGTACTTGGGCTGCAAATCAGTATACCATCCTATTCACAACCAAAATTCGATACCATCCTATTCACAACCAAAATACACGACTTAAGAACAGTTCGAACCACATGAAAAATCAGTCACCACATTTAGTAGCTTACAATAACTACTTGGGCTGCAAATCAGTCACCGTATTTAGTAACATCAAAGTTCACAACTAAAAGTCGATATCATCCTATTCACAACCAAAATACGCGACTTAAAAATAGTTCGAGTCACATGAAAAATCAGCCACATCATCCCTAAACACCTTCAGTTCTTGCTGCACCTTGTGATGAAGTTTGTGACTTGATGTTCTTCTGTCTAAGCAAAGCACTTTTATGTTGAAGTTGTCTTTCTGTGATAGCACTTTTCCCCTTCCATTTAAGACCTTTACTTGGTGCATACCCAAGGTCCCCGGTGACAATAATACTTGGTGCATACCCAAGGTCACCGGTGACAATAGCTGAACTTATCAGTTTCTCTTGTGCTCCACTCTTGATTACCCTACTAATAGATTTTCCTTGTTGTAAAGTAATAAAGAGTCGTTAAATTATTTTTAAGAAGTTTAATCAAGAATATAAGCTTATTAACTCTCGTTTTTACCTCGGCACAAATAAAATCATCTTTGCTCACAAATACTCCATGACCCACTACTCTTGGCCTCTTAAATGCATTATTTGCACCTTTTCTATTACCACTGTCACTTTGCACTATTGCTTGAGATGGTTCAGAAGATTGAGATTGTTGCACTGCTTGAGTGGGGTGAGATTTCTGCTTGCCACTTCTTTTACTACTGGCAGATGCTTGTGATGTAGTAATACCCTATGCAAAGAATAATTTTGAAAGTGTTAACGGTATTAATACACTATAAATAAACGTTAATTGAAATCAAATGTACCTCTGAAGTGGCTGGAAGTTTGTTTGGACATGTTCTTATATTGTGACCTTTTGACTTACAAGCGGAGCAACTCATGGTTTTCCCCTCTTTGGAAGCTTTCCAGAACTTGGTACCTCTCCAAGTTCCTTCTTTCTTTTTTTACCAGGCCTTCCTGGCATTTTTTAACAGGAGGTGGCTCAACTTTTGAATTCGATGTCTCGTGCCACATCTTCATGTTTGTTACTGGTTGTAAAAAATGTTTATAAGCTTTCATGTAGGTTTCTTTTTTGTACCACTTACAAATCGAATCAAGGAGATTAGTTTTATCGTGATGTATAGCTGCTATTGCATGTGCACAAGGAATCCCTTTCAATCCCCAACTTCTACAAGTGTAAGTTCCTTGAATTAGGTTAACCAATGTATATATGGACTATCTTTCACTTCATACCCAATG